CCTGTCTGCCCACCGCCCAGTTAACAGGCTGAGGTGGAGTCAGGCAGAAGGGCTGCCTGCTACATTTGGTGGGGAGTAGGTGGGGGACTGGGGTGTTAAGAGGCTGTGAATAGCCTGGGGGTCCCTGCTTTACCATTCACACTCACACCCAGCCCTGCCTCAAGGTCTTTGACAGGAGCAAGGGATGAGGTGGTCCATCTCTGGAGATGCCCTCCCCACCCCCTGCCACCACCTCCTGTCAGTCCTGACTGTGCTGCCCGGCCTGCTTCATCATATGACCCTGCCTCACACCCCTGTCCCCACTCCCGTTTCCCACTTCAGTGACCTGGAGGCTAAAGCTCAGAGGAAGCAGCACTTGTTGAAAGAGCCGGCAGTAGAGGAGAGCAGTGCTTCCCCACGTTCCGAGCCAGATCTCCACATTGAGGACCTGAGGAAATCCTTAGGGACAGTAAGCTTCTCTGTGCCTTGGGAGGGTCAGGGTGGCTGGGCCCTGGCCAGGCTCCGGGAGGGGTCCTGGCTCTGCTCTGTATGGGACCTTAGCATCCTATTCGTATCATTCCTAGTCCTCCTCCTCCATCCATCAGATTATCTCTCTGTAAGTGAGTCGTGCCCTGCCCGACGGCCGGCAGAGCCATTTCCGTGTCTAGGCCACTAGGAGGGGCTTCGGGGTCCTTGGCGCCTGTAGTGTGTCTGATGTTACAGTCATTGGGTCTTTTCTGGTCCTTAGAACCAGCCTAAAGAGGTAGCCTTTTCTCTCCCTGAGAGCAAGGAGGAGACCGACTTGTCCTTGGACGGGTGAGTTCCAATAACCTATCTTATTTTGGGTTGAGGATGCCAGGAAGGGGTGCGTGAGTGCCTACATCACAGAGCCGGGGTGGACTGAAATGTGACAGTGGTCACCAGTGGGGCTTGGGTCTAGGGCAGGGGTTCTGGGAGACAGGAATCTATTCTGAGAAGCCCAGAAGGCAGCCACTGTGACCATGGACACAGCATGCTGGAGGGTCAGTCTCATGGGAGTGTCTGGCTGTCCTTCTGGAGGTCCCAGGCACGATCCCTTTCAGACCCAGGGTGGGAGGACTCAGTGTAGCACGCGGCACACTGTGGGTGTTCAGTGGCGGCGTCCCCGCGCTGCCCGGCCCCCCGGCCTCACCGCCTAGTCTGTGCTCAGGATGTGCATTT